CCCCAAAACCCCAAAACCCCAAAACCCCAAAACCCCGGAATTTAAGTTTTAATGGAATTTAAATTTAAATATGGATTATTTCTCTCCAGCAATCTCATCTCATGCACCAAATGACCATCACTGTAAGCTATTTTCAGCTAAAATTAGACAATGCATTAAATTATAATGACTCTACAACAACCCCAAAGTACAGCCATGAAAGAGTTATCGGGTCAGCTGCAAGTAAGAATTCTTTATAATACTCTAAGACAGTGAAAATAAGAGGGAAAATAGGTTCCAACCAAAAGAGAACCTCCTTAAAAGACTTCCAAATTTACGCTCCTGAGAAAGAAGAGAATTCAGCAATGATGCTGATAAAAGTGGCAAAATCAGTAAATCAAGTTGCATAACTATTTAGAAAATGATTCTAAGGATAGGTCATTATCTATCCCAAAAGACTCTAAGATCCCAAGAATATTGGCGAATTACCCTCAGAATGTCCAAGAAATAAGACAGATTTATAAATATTCCAGTCAGACTCCTCAAATGCAAACTCCTAACACCTCAACTGATGGAGATGGAAGTGGGAATGTAACTTCTCTCACCTATAAAAGAGTCAAAAATAGCAAAAGACAGAACACTGAGAAGAAGCAAGAAGACTCTTCTGAGCTAACAGCTCACCATAAATATAATTATAACGATATCACAGAATCGTACAAATGTGATATGAGCACCCAGACCATAGTGAAAGGTACTTCTATCCACTCAACTATAGAGGACAAAATAAAGTCAGTCCAGGATATTGAGAACCATTATGCTCCGAAGAAACTAAAGATGGAAACCTCTAGAGTCTTAGAATCCCAGTATGAGAACACCTTTATGAGAGATGTAGAGGAAGCTTCCTACTCTCTTCAGCCGATCTCTTCCCCTCCCTCTGTAGCGAATGCTATGAAGGCTTTACAGGCTAAGATCAAGACTTTGCAGGGTGAAAATGCTAACCTCAGGCATGAAATTAGCTCGTTAAAATCAGAAATGAAGTCCCAAAACCCCACCGAGACCAAGAAATTAGAGCTTGAAATCCTTGAACTTCGGTCTAAATCTGATAGCTACATTAATCAGCTCAAAAATGACAAGGAAGAGTTCAAGCAAGTAATCTTTGAGAATAAAGAAATCATTGAAAAGCTAGTCACGAAGCTTAAGAATACCAAGACCAAATGTAAAAAGTAAGGTCTCACATCTTTAGTTTAAATGGTTGAGATTTATGTAACCATGCACATAGGCTAGCAAAGGAGCTTACAGCCAAGGACCAGGAGCTTAGCGGGCTTAAGATCGACTATGTCGAAATCTCCCAAGCTTGCAAAAGTTATCAACAAGAGCTTGAGAAAATTGGCAAAGTTGAAGTTATCAAGCAAAGACTTGACCATGAAAAACTAGCCAAAATCCAGCTTGTTAAGGAAAAAGTAAGAAGCAGGGTTTACTTAATAGAACATGCTCCAAGAAGATTATGAGCAAAAACTACACTCTCTCGAACCGGAAATAAAGTCATTGAGGGACAAAGTCAATTATTTGACGAAGATTAATTCTAAAGTTCAGCAAGCTCAGAAAGTCACCGAGGACTTTGTCCAAGAAATTGTGTCAGTCAACGAGCTCCTAGCAACTTCATTAAAGGAAAAGAAGAGAGAGATTAAGCATCTTAGTAGAGAACGGGGAATGAGAAGATCAGAAAGCTGTGGAAATTTCGATAACTTTAAGCATAACAAGCTATCAGAAACCCAGAACTTACCTGAAAATGAGATCAACTTGGTAAATCAGAAGGTTAATCAAAACTTTCAAGACACATCCTGAGATTCCAAAGAGAAGACCAAAAGAGAGCCAAGGTTCTCCACAAAGAAGAATTTTTCTTTCAAGCAGAGAGCCTTTTCAACAGCTTCTGCCAATTTTAGAAGATTTGCTTTTGAAGAAGGGAACCCCAATCTTGATTTTCAGAATAACCTAGCTGATTATTCAAAATCATTAAGTCTGAAGAAGCCGAAGAAACACAGGAAGAAGAATAGCATTGGTAAGAAACCCTATTATCTGTATAGAGAAGGATAAGCTCAAAATACTAAAGATTGAGAAAGACCTAACTTGCTTGCACAAAGACTATAAACACTTCTGTAGTAGCCTAGGTCAAAAGACCAGCAATGCGAGTATTAGGGTAGATGAGAGACAGATTAATAGCTTGCTTTCCAAAGTAGAAGGTCAGACCCAGGAACTCATGTGCATCCATTCGAACTACTAACTTAAGGCTCTTGATGATAATCAGTCTGAAGGAAATTTTTAAATAGTTCAGTTCAAAAATAACATTCCGTAATGGGGTTTTGGGGTTTTGGGGTTTTGGGGTTTTGGGGTTTTGGGG